ATGCTTGTGTTTTGCATATTTTTACACAAATTTTCATCATAAATTATATTATCAGCATAACAATCTGTGAGAAAAGTTGAATTGCAGCAGTCATGAATTGGAGAATGTTGTTTCTTCTGCATGTCCAGCTTCAGCTGAAGCAAGAAAAGAGTCATGATCAGTGATGCTCATTTGCTTGCATTTGATTAATCACATAGAAATTAAGCAGAAATCTGTCTTAAATATTTATTTTACTTCATAGCATTTTTTGTTCTATTCTATATTTCCCAGTTTAAATTAGATTTGAATCCCACATTTTCTCAGGCGTTTGGACCTCACTGTATATTTTATTCACATGAAATATTAAATATTCAAAGCTCATTCCTACTGCATTATTATCATCAACATATATCTGACACATGCATATATGTATTAATACATAATCACTGTAATTTATTTTGTCTATTGTATTACACTGAAATGTAGAAATAACCCATAAAATCAGAGCTCATGGTCAGCATTTTTCATTTATAATAATGCTATGCTGCCACGGAGAGCAGAGAAGAGGCTCGTAAAGTGTTCATTAAGAGAGATGTTACAGGTGTTTTAACAATTGCAAGTTTATATCTCACAATTGCAAGTTATAAACTCATAAATTTGAGTGTACATCTCACAATTCTAACCTTTTTAAATTCTGAGTTTATATCTCGTAATTCTGACTTTCTGACTTCTACTTTTCTCAGTATTGCAAGTTTGTATCTCAAAATATATTACGGCTTTATTCTCGTATTGATACAACTTTGTTCTGGTCATTTTGACTTTGTTCTCAAAATATTAGGATCTCACAATGCTTTGACTTTATTCTCGTAATTTTGACTTAATTTTCAAAATATATCAACTTTAGTCTCACAATGCTACGACTTAATTTAGGTAATTTTGATTTATAGATTTATATATCAAAATATTACACCTTTATTCTCAAAATGGCATTTATTTATTTTGGCACTGAAATGCTTTTATAATATTATTTAAAAAAATTTAAAAAAAAAGGTAATTGCAAGTGTTTATCTCACAGTTCTGACTCTTTTCTCACTATTCTGAGAAAAAAAATCAGAATTTACCCTGTTAAATTGTAATATATAAGCTCTCAGTTCTCAGAATCGCAAGATATAAACTCAGAATAGCAAGAAAAAAGTCAGAATTGTGAGATAAAAACTTGCAATTACCTTTTTTTATATATATTTTTATAATATAAGCTTCCATAATAGACCCTGATACATGGAAGTTGCATAAAACCAGCCAATCATTTCTGGTTTTGTGTGGAACAAGTATATCCTAAGAGGCAGCATAATAAGGCTTCTTACATTCTAAAAAATGCTGGGTTGTTTCAACCCAATGTTGGGTCAAATATGGACTAACCCAGCAGTTGGGTTAAATTTTGGTTACATTTTTAAATGTTCTTTATGGAAGGACTGATGCCAATAAGGAACCTTCAAGAGTGTAGATTATTAAAAAGGTTCTTTATTGGCACTGATGACTGCATGGAGAACCGTTAACATCAGGGAACCTTTCTGCACTCTTAAACATAAAGGTTCTTTATTGGCATCAATGGTTCTATGAAGAACCTTGAACATCCTAAAGAACCAGAAAAGGTTCTTTATAGTCGAAAAAGATTCTTTTAGATTTTTAAAATGGTTCTTTTAGGAACTGTTTACTGAAAGGTTCTTTGGGGAACCAAAAATGGTTCTTTTATGGCATCACTGCAAAAACACCCTTTTAGAACCTTTATTTTTAAGAGTGTGTTGCTCAAAAGGTCCTATAGATTATTAACAAGTTCTCGATATAAAAAGTGGTTCTTTTAAGAACTGTTCGCTGAAAGGTTCTTAGGCAAAATCAAAAATGGATCTTCACTCTTATAAAGATTATAAAAATAGCTTTTCACAATGATGCCTTTGAAGAACCATTTTTGGTTCCCAAAAGAACCTTTCTTTTTGGAAAAATTTGGAACCTTTATTTGTATTAGTGTAGTGTAAATGTTTCTTTAGATTATTCAAATGTTCTTTATACTACTAAAAAAAATGGTTCTTTTAAGAACTGTTCACAGAAAGGTTCTTTGGGGAACCAAAAATGGTTCTGCTGCATGTAGCCGAGTAAACCTGTGTGTGTGACTGAGCGTGAATGAATGTGTGTGTGTTGTAAATGTGATTAGTGGGAGTGGCTGTGGAGCGGACGATGCACTCGTCGCGATTAGCTTGTGCAGCGTGCACCCTGCATGCTAAAGCGCACAAGCGAGTGGAACGCATGTGGCACATCTCTTTATCTGGATTTAATCACCCCACCAGAGAAAAACACACACACACGCCAAGCCTGAAAAGAGAATACAGAAGCAGCTGTGATTGTGTCTGAGCCTTAAAATAATGTAAAACAGCTTCCTTTTTCATGCATGCCAAAGAAATCAGAATTTCTCACAAAACACCCTGCCAATGGCAAAAGAGTGGTGCCAGCATTTGTGCACGCATGTGTGTGTGTCTCACTCCAGGGTGTGTATGACATTGGCTTGATTTGTAGGCATTGGTTGCTTTTCTGAGCTCCAAAACATAGTGATTGTGTTGAAGGGTCAGTGTGTTTGTGTGTGTGTATGTGTAAGTGAAGTGGATGGAAATCAGGCACAGAATGTGACAGCTGTCTACTGCTGCTGCTGGTCAGAGGGGGTGTGGCTCTATTAAAGAGGCGTGGCTCACTGCCAGAAAGAAAGTGACTTCAGCTCTGTCACGCCTCATTAATATTCTGATGTCATTGCTCCGGCCCCTCCCCCACTATACACTGGAGATGAAAGTATGATATCATTCCATATGGATGGCCAGAGAGAAGACACAACGGCCACTCGATCCATCACCCCTGAGTGCTCTCTCGCTCTCTCTCTCTCTCGCTCTTTTAGGCATCATATACACGTTCCTAACTTGAAGGCTGTCCAGAATGTGCACTCTAAAAAATGCTGGGTTGTTTCAACCCAATGTTGGGTCAAATATGGACTAACCCAACTGTTGGGTTAAAAAGCTAATTTAAAAATGTAACCAAAATTTAACCCAACTGTTGGGTTAGTCCATATTTGACCCAACATTGGGTTGAAACAACCCAGCATTTTTTAGAGTGCACATTCTGGACAGCCTTCAAGTTAGGAACGTGTATATGATGCCTAAAAGAGCGAGAGAGAGAGAGAGCGAGAGAGCACTCAGGGGTGATGGATCGAGTGGCCGTTGTGTCTTCTCTCTGGCCATCCATATGGAATGATATCATACTTTCATCTCCAGTGTATAGTGGGGGAGGGGCCGGAGCAATGACATCAGAATATTAATGAGGCGGTAGAGAGAGAGCGAGAGAGCACTCAGGGGTGATGGATCGAGTGGCCGTTGTGTCTTCTCTCTGGCCATCCATATGGAATGATATCATACTTTCATCTCCAGTGTATAGTGGGGGAGGGGCCGGAGCAATGACATCAGAATATTAATGAGGCGTGACAGAGCTGAAGTCACTTTCTTTCTGGCAGTGAGCCACGCCTCTTTAATAGAGCCACACCCCCTCTGACCAGCAGCAGCAGTAGACAGCTGTCACATTCTGTGCCTGATTTCCATCCACTTCACTTACACATACACACACACAAACACACTGACCCTTCAACACAATCACTATGTTTTGGAGCTCAGAAAAGCAACCAATGCCTACAAATCAAGCCAATGTCATACACACCCTGGAGTGAGACACACACACATGCGTGCACAAATGCTGGCACCACTCTTTTGCCATTGGCAGGGTGTTTTGTGAGAAATTCTGATTTCTTTGGCATGCATGAAAAAGGAAGCTGTTTTACATTATTTTAAGGCTCAGACACAATCACAGCTGCTTCTGTATTCTCTTTTCAGGCTTGGCGTGTGTGTGTGTTTTTCTCTGGTGGGGTGATTAAATCCAGATAAAGAGATGTGCCACATGCGTTCCACTCGCTTGTGCGCTTTAGCATGCAGGGTGCACGCTGCACAAGCTAATCGCGACGAGTGCATCGTCCGCTCCACAGCCACTCCCACTAATCACATTTACAACACACACACATTCATTCACGCTCAGTCACACACACAGGTTTACTCGGCTACATGCAGCAGAACCATTTTTGGTTCCCCAAAGAACCTTTCTGTGAACAGTTCTTAAAAGAACCATTTTTTTTAGTAGTATAAAGAACATTTGAATAATCTAAAGAAACATTTACACTACACTAATACAAATAAAGGTTCCAAATTTTTCCAAAAAGAAAGGTTCTTTTGGGAACCAAAAATGGTTCTTCAAAGGCATCATTGTGAAAAGCTATTTTTATAATCTTTATAAGAGTGAAGATCCATTTTTGATTTTGCCTAAGAACCTTTCAGCGAACAGTTCTTAAAAGAACCACTTTTTATATCGAGAACTTGTTAATAATCTATAGGACCTTTTGAGCAACACACTCTTAAAAATAAAGGTTCTAAAAGGGTGTTTTTGCAGTGATGCCATAAAAGAACCATTTTTGGTTCCCCAAAGAACCTTTCAGTAAACAGTTCCTAAAAGAACCATTTTAAAAATCTAAAAGAATCTTTTTCGACTATAAAGAACCTTTTCTGGTTCTTTAGGATGTTCAAGGTTCTTCATAGAACCATTGATGCCAATAAAGAACCTTTATGTTTAAGAGTGCAGAAAGGTTCCCTGATGTTAACGGTTCTCCATGCAGTCATCAGTGCCAATAAAGAACCTTTTTAATAATCTACACTCTTGAAGGTTCCTTATTGGCATCAGTCCTTCCATAAAGAACCCTTCCACTGTGCAAAAAGTTGTTTATAATGGAATAAGGTCTTTTAGATTATTAAAAAAAAATTCTTAAAACTAAGAAAAAATGGCTCTTTTAAGAACTACTCACTGAAAGGTTCTTTAGTGAACCAAAAATGGTCTCTCTCTCTCTCTCTCTCTCTCTCTGTCACACACACACACACACACACACACACACACACTCACACACACACTGGCGGAGCGCGCTGCTGTCGCTCAGTGATTCTCTCCGCGTCTCTGGGACTTTTTTGTTCCGCACTCCTCGTGTCTTCTCCAGGTGAGTGAATCTCCTCAAATCTCTCTGAATTCTCCTCAGCAGCAGCTTGAGATCACGGAGAGAAGGTGTGTGTGTGTGTGTGTGTGTGTGTGTTGCGCGCAGGTCTGTCTGTCAGAGGTGTGTGTGTGTGTGTGTGTGTGTGTGTGTGTAAGAGTGACCAAAATGCTGATATGTCATTTTGTTGCAAACAAAGTATTGGTGGAACCATACGGTAAAACCGTAGAACCGTATTCACGTACCATGGTATTTTAAAGTACCTAGTTTAAGTTAAGAGTGACAGGTGAAGGCGTTGCGAAACCGAATTGGATCCGTTTAGGTGCCAAAGTTGAATTGTGAACTGTATGCTTCATATATGCTGCAATGTCCAAAACGAGTCGCTTGTATTTCATTTTTAATGCATTTGTTCTTTTACAAAACTGCTGTTATGTATGCATTGTAAAAATAAAATAAAAAAACTAAAATGTGCTAGAAATGACATTTCATTTACATCGTTTAGAAATCTTAATACCGGGATACTTTGAGATTTGCCATGACTTTGTATGATTTCCATATTCATATACTCATACTCCATATATTCAAAATATGATTAATAAGCCTCAACTGATCAGAATGCATTAGTTCACACCAATGAAATTCATTTTTAAGGATTTGATGTAGTAGAAATATCTCATATTTTAACTTTTACAGTGTATAGTGATGGTAATACCACTGTACTTTGAGATTTACCTTGATTACACCTCAGCAGCAGCTTGAGATCACGGAGAGAAGGTGTGTGTGTGTGTGTGTGTGTGTGTGTTGCGCGCAGGTCTGTCTGTCAGAGGTGTGTGTGTGTGTGTGTGTGTGTGTGTGTGTAAGAGTGACCAAAATGCTGATATGTCATTTTGTTGCAAACAAAGTATTGGTGGAACCATACGGTAAAACCGTAGAACCGTATTCACGTACCATGGTATTTTAAAGTACCTAGTTTAAGTTAAGAGTGACAGGTGAAGGCGTTGCGAAACCGAATTGGATCCGTTTAGGTGCCAAAGTTGAACTGTATGCTTCATATATGCTGCAATGTCCAAAACGAGTCGCTTGTATTTCTTTTTTAATGCATTTGTTCTTTTACAAAACTGCTGTTATTTATGCATTGTAAAAATAAAATAAAAAAACTAAAATGTGCTAGAAATGACATTTCATTTACATCGTTTAGAAATCTTAATACCGGGATACTTTGAGATTTGCCATGACTTTGTATGATTTCCATACTCATATACTCATACTCCATATATTCAAAATATGATTAATAAGCCTCAACTGATCAGAATGCATTAGTTCACACCAATGAAATTCATTTTTAAGGATTCGATGTAGTAGAAATATCTCATATTTTAACTTTTACAGTGTATAGTGATGGTAATACCACTGTACTTTGAGATTTACCTTGATTACATATTCATATATCATGGTACAGTGATATTTAGCATGATATTGTGTGATTTCCATATTCACATGCAATAGTATTTACATAGAATATCAAAAAGCGTGGTGTTGCTGTAGTATAAACTGTGATCTTGTAGGAAAACGATCTATTTGATTGCTTTGCACAGTTTGTGAGCCGCAGATGAATTGCGATCCGTGTGTGTGTGTGTGTGTGTGTGTGTGTGTGTGTGTGATCTGTATTCAAGACATTAGTGCTGTCATGTCGTGTAAATGGTCATTCATCAGATGCTAAGAGATCTAATCCATTACACACACCACTCTCTCTCTCTCTCTCTCTGTGTGAGTGTGTGTGTGTGTGTGTGTGTGTGACTAGATTGACTTCAGTGTGTGTTTTATCTGATTTTTCATTGCTCTGTCATATCTCATGCAGGTCTCAGTTATGTTTTGAGTGTCTGAGGAGGAATAAAAACAGACTTTGGAAGAATGTGATTAGAAATGTTTGAGATCTTTGGCTTCTGAGGTCAGAATCTGGTATTTGAGAAGAGTGAGTTCAGTTTGAGACGTTGTTGAGATGTTTCCGAAGCATCTGAGAAGCAGGACACTTGCGTAAATTAGGCTTATTAACGTTAACAAAACTAAAACTAAAGCCATAAAAACATTATTGTTACTTGAAATAAAATACATTTTTTAAAAACTAATTTTATTTAGGCTATATAACGTTTTAATTTGGCTAGTTGCCAAGGCAACATTTTTCATTTTCGTTTAACTTAAGTTGTTTAATAATAAGTAAAACTAAATTATAAAAACGTATTTTTAGCTATTGTTAGCTTAATATTTTTATTTCTATTTTTTGTTTAAGTTGGAGCACTAAAATAACTAAAACTAAAATAAAAAACTTTAGCTAATTTTTAATTAATATTTTTAGTTTTACATTTCCTTATAATAGCTAAAATAGCTTAGTAGCTAACCTTATTTAGCTATTTTTAGCTCAACATTTCTATTTTTCTTTTAATTTCAGTTGAAGTACTAAAATAACTAAAATTAAAAAATGTAAACTTATTAAATTTTTAGTTCATTCAGCTATTTTTAGCTCAATATTTCTCTAATTTTTCTTTTAATTTATGTTGAAGTACTAAATAACTAAAATAAAAAAGTCATTTTTTTAACTCATTTAGCAAAACTTTTAGCTCCACATTTGTCATTTTATTTGTATAATTTAAGTTGAAGTACTAAAATAACTAAAACTAAAATTGTAAGAAATCTAAACTTATTTAATTTTTAGTTCATTTAGCTATTTTTTTTAGCTCAACATTTCTAATAATGTTGTTCTAATAAATAAACTTCAGCCTGAAATATAAAATATAAAAAACTAGCTCAAGCTTTCTCATTTAAGTTTAATTTATGTTGAAGTACTATGGACGTAAAAAAAAAATAAAAAAATAAAAAATGACAAAAAACATACAAAATTACTAAAACTTTAACTAAAATTAAAACTATAAAAAAAATTATAAAAATATTAACAAAAATTAAAATTATTTAAAAAAATTATAAAAATATTAACAAAAACTGCTAGTATATGGTGTAAATGTCTTCATTTACTCTCTTTAATCATTGTACACGTGTAACAGAGACAATTCATGACCATTAATAAATATAGAATGGAGAAACACTTGAAATATTAAAGCGATGAGTTTGTCTGTGAAACATGGCTGGTTTTGAACATGAACAGCTAGAAAAAACCATAAAGGACGACCGCTAACACCTTTAGAGATTATGCCAACAGCAATATGTTAAAACAGACCAATGTTCAATAAACAGTTACATTTATTAATAAAACAATCATATTGCATTTACTAATATTACTCATATTACATTTATTCATCATGATCACATTCTTCTGAAAAGTAATATAGTCCATTGTTCTTTAATAACTGCAGGCTGTAGCAGGCTGCTGCATTAATGCGTCACAGGTGCGTTTATCTGCATTTTACAATGGCTTTAATGTCAGAACTATCTGTTTTATAATGCAGACTTTAGTAAAACAGATTGAAAGTGTGTGTGTGTGTGTGTGTGAGAGAGAGAGAGAGCTGTATGAGTGTGTTTGAAAGACAGGAAAAGAGCAAGACACATTTGATGAATGATGGTTTGAATGGAGACTGACATTTTCCAGAGAAACATCTCCACAGACATCAGGTGTGTGTGTGTGTGTGTGTGTGTGTGTGTCTTCAATCCACTTACTGAGAGATTCCCTGTGTGTGTGTGTGTGTGTGTGTGTGTCCGGTGAAACAGATGAGAGGTGACAGGGTGAATTAACTCAGAAATGTGGATGCACACACACAATAACAGATTTAATGAATGCAAACGCTCTGTCATTTGCTTTTGTCTCTATTCACTCACACACACACACACACACACACACATGATTTCCATCAGCTCACTTTTGTAGTTTCTCCCACATGCTTGATTCTCCTAAAATACACACACACACACACACACACACACACACTCACACACACACACACTCACACACACTCACACACACTCACACACACACACACACACACACACACACAGACAGAGTGTGGGATGTTGAAACGGCTGGTAAAAACATCAGCCCTGAACTTTCCCTCTGGACGGATCCAGGATCAATTTTCATAAATTACCCTGAAGCCACACACACACTCATATACTCATATATTCACCCTAAAACTCAGACAGGAAGTGTGTGTGTGTGTGTGTGTGAACCTCAGAGAAAGATTTGGGATAAAGGCCAGAAACATATTTAAAATAACTACATAGACGCAATTGTTTGGCCAACACATTGCACAGTACATACTCAGACCTGAAACATGTGTGTTTGAGTGTACACGTTTATTTTTGTAATGTTTTTGAAAGAAGTCTCTTCTGCTCACCAAGGCATTTGATTTTAAAAGTAATTGCGACTTTTTATCTTATTCTGACTTTTTCCTCACAATTCTCAATTCATATAAACTCAGAATTGCAACATACTCAGAATCCCAAGTTTATTCTGAGATAAAGCAAGTCAGGATTGGGATATAAACTCATAATTGCGACAAATAAACTCAGAATTACAAGATATAAACTCAAAATTGCCACAAACTCAACTGTGACAAATTTAAAATTGCAACAAACTCAGAATTGTGAGATATGAACTCAAAATTGCGTCATGAACTCAGAATTACGACAAACTCAGAATCGTAAGTTTATTCTTAGATAAAAGAAGTCAGAATTAAGATATAAACTCAGAATTGAAACATAAACTCAGAATTGAAACAAACTCAAAATTGCGACATATAAACTCAAAATTACGACATATAAACTCATAATTAGGACCTATAAACTCAGAATTGTGGGACATATAAACTCAAAATTGTGACAAACTCATAATTGCAATATATCATCTCAGAATTGTGGGACATAAACTCAGAATTGTGAGTTTAGTGTAAGATAAAATAAGGCAGAATTGGGAGATATAAACTCACAATTCTAAGAAAAACAGCCGAATTGTGCAATTAAAAGGTCGCAATGATCTTTTTTAGTTTTTATTTTATGGCGGAAGCAAAAAAACAAAAACAACAACAACAACAAAAAAAAAAAGATTTGAAAGATGTAAACTCAGAATTCCGAGAAAAATTTATTTTTTATCCCAGGGTTTCCATCGTCTGATACATTTCAGAACACAGTGACACATGAAATTGAGCTTGTCTAGCTAGAATTGTTTGCATTCATATTTCTGTCAGGACCACTATCGTCAAAGATGATTGACAATTAGCATACAGTTTGGAGAGCAGGGAGAGCAGCGATAACCCCCCAGGGTAAACAGAACAGAACCAACATAAATGTATTGCAGATATCGTTAAAGTTCAATCATTTTATGTACACGTTTTAGAATTAGTCTGATTCAAAAGATAACCAAAAGGCAGAATCCTGACTGACAGAGGAGGAGCTGGGGATGGAGGAGGGTAATTAGCTATTGAGCAATGCGAAAACTGCTGATAATACTGAGGGACCTTATATATGAATGCTTAGATAGGTGTCGCATTCCTATAGATAGATGGGGATCAGCTGAGAGTCAGCTGATGCGAGCTTGACTAACATGACCTGCCAGAACTAACGCTGCGCTTGATATTTGCGTATATAGGTTTTGTGAGTGTGAACTCAGACGGAGACCAGACTGAGTGTGTGTGTGTGTTGTGCTCCATTAGCCAGTAGCAGGTTTGTTGCTCTGCAGGAGGTGAGCTTTGTCTGGCAGGCTTGACGCAGTTTACCGGCGTGTGGTTTATGGGTAGCGTGTGTGTGTGTGTGTGTGTGTGTGTGTGTGTAATTAGTTTCAACTGTGTGGCAGACATGAGTGATTTAATATCAGATACTACACAGCTGGGATACTGCTGTAACACAAACGCAAACATGGCCATGGAGCTCAGCGATTTTCCTAAACTGTGTTCTGATTCATAGGGTCCCTACACAGTATTCACTGCTCCCCACATTCTGAGAAGGGCATATCTGTTAAAAAAACGTAATATTGTTAAATAATTTGCTGTTCAAGAAACATTTATTATTATGATCAATATTATCTGTCTATCTGCTATCTATCTATCTATCTATCTATCTATCTATCTATCTATCTATCTATCTATCTATCTATCTATCTATCTATCTATCTATCTATCTATCTATCTATCATCCATCTATCTCTCTATCTGTCTGTCTGTCTGTCTGTCTGTCTGTCTGTCTGTCTGTCTGTCTATCTATCTATCTGTCTATCATGTGGTGTTGCTTTGCTAATTTCACGAGGGAAGGATCTTTAAAAATATATTTATTTCATTGCAAATAATTATTTTAAAAATAAATAATTAAATTTGTAAAAAAAAATTCCGTTTGGTCCTATATGTCTAAATAATGCAATAATGACTATACTTACAATGTATCACAGACTCTAATTAACTAAAATAAATAATTGGTGTTTTACAAGTCACTGTTTCCTTTGTTCACACATGATTTGCAATTTTTCATTACATTTATCTCGTTTTGTTGTAAATATGTAAACATGTAAATATTTTCCACACTACATCAAGCAATTAATTAACTGCATCTCTCTCGCAGCAGGTCATACTGAGAAAGAAATCCCATTGAAAAACCAAGGACATAAAAAGCCTTTGGATACAGTCTGACTCTCCCAAGAGTTGAAAGGGTCAAAGGTCATGACCTTATTTTGATCCCAGATCATGTTTCACACCTTCCCCAACAAATCGCGGGCGCAGACGTCGGTCAGCATGGAGAAAACGTACTCGCTCACGGCGCATTACGACGATTTCCAGGAGATCAAGTACAGCAGTCGTTGCAGCAGCAGCACGCTGAGTAACGGCATGAGTCTGCATCTGGGCGGATCGCTGGACCGCGGAAGAAGTGGGCGGGACAAGTGTGTGGGTGGGGTCAAGGGCGGGGCCGGGGGCGGGGCTCCGGCCCGCTGGAGCAGGCGCGAAATCTGCCTGCTCTCTGCTTTAGTGTTCGCGGCGGGGATGTGCGTGATTCTCGGATGCATGCTGGCGCTGAAGTTTCTGGCGCTGGAAGCGCAGGATTCCCAGTGTCGTCAGGATTGCGTAAAGCGGCGCTCGCTGCTCCGGGCCGCTCGCTTCATCCAGGGGAACGTCGACCCGAGCGTCCAGCCCTGTCACGACTTCTACAGCTTCGCTTGCGGCGGGTGGCTCCGGAGACACGGTATACCGGAGGATAAACTGAGCTACGGGATCATCACCGCCATCGGAGAACAGAACCAGGAGAAGCTGCAGCGCCTCCTACAGGTGCCGGTGCAGAGGAACGAGCCGGATAGTGCCGAGAGAAAGGTACAACCACACACTCGGAATATTTGCTTGGTTTCAATGCATTTTGTTTATTATATATTTAAATCTGCATAATTTTGTATCAATTTTGACACAGTCAAACCAAAATTTATTCAGACACCTTCAACATTTCTCACATTATATCAGTTTATTGGCTATAGTTTAGAAACGGTACTAAAATATGAGAAGAGCTCAGAGTTAAACTGTGTCAGAACAAACTCATCTTGATAATGTCAGATAACTTTGATAGAAAGGTATGTAATGAATTCTGTTGAATAGCTGTCAGCTGTTAAATTTAAGAACACAATTAGATAAAACCAATTAATTACCAAGCAGTGCTTCATTCTGTTCAGTCTGTGGTGTAAAAAGATCACATTAGCAATTAAAGAATAACACTTCAGCAAAACATGCTCAGCTCAAAGTGTCTGAATCATTTTTGGTCCGGTAGTCCACTGTATGAAGAATCTTTGGGTGTAATATGTCACAGTTTACTTTATTTAGCTATCCTCACTTACATAAATGAACTATAGTGTCCTGCACCCACTAGTAAACAAATATCAAATATTATATCTGCTGTCTGAATAAGTTTTTGTTTGACTGTATTTAATACTACTTAATTTTTTAAGTCAGGAATCACTATTTCTTTTGCCCATATGTGATTGGATTTATGACTTCATTACATTTCTCAAGTTTTATTCAGAAATTGTAAGAATCTAGGTTTTATATTTTACATGAAATAATTTTGTGATGATGCTGTTTTAATATCATCAGGAAAATATCCTAATAAAATTACTTTACTTTAAATTACTAATATTTTTTTAAATCGTGTGATTTTATTTAAAATTTAGAATTACATTTCTCATACTTTAGTCATATTCGAATATATATACATTACATACATGCATACATACATGCATTCAGTTTCTCATGATTTGTTATAAATATGCAATATATCTACTGTATATATATATATAAGGGCTGGGTATTGATTCAGATGTCCCGATTCGATTCTTGGTTCGATTCTCGATTTTTTTAAAATTACATTCAGTGAATATAGTTTTAATACAAATGCTATTGGTATTTCTAAAAAAATTAATAGTAAACATCATTTTACAAATGGTGAATTAATAAAAATAAATTAAGAGCCACAGGCCTGTATTTTAAACCTATTCTTTTTTTGTATAGGGTCCTTTTTTAAACAATAATAGGGCCCTATAAAATATTCTTCTTAATTTTTCAGGTAATCAGATGAAGGCATAAAATATTAATTTAATTTATCCTATTCAAATTAAAATTAAACCCTGTTATTTTTTGGCAAACAAAGTGTTGCACAACAGAGGTTTACTGTTAAAATTAAAAAGAAAACAAATGTGATTATTCCTTTAAAAAAACATTTATTAATATTTATTATTAGTAGTAGTAGTAACATTGTTGTTGCATTGAGTCTTAAGATATGAAGTAATATATTTCTGTAAAATGCTACTGAAGTGACTCTCAGAGCAGCTGGAGATGATATTTGTGTATTCATATCATCATAGTGAGACAACAGAGGCTGAAAACACAGCGAGCGCCGTCCGCGCTTTAATATGTGTGTAGTAAACAAAACAGTGCGTCGCACCATCCGCCATTCATTCATTCATTGCAAAAATAATGCGCCTTTACGTGTGATGTCAAATGCTTCCACAGATTTGTAGTAATACTATAGAATTTTACCTGAGCATTGCAAATCACGCATGTTGCTTTGTTCTTGGTTCTTGTCAACAGTATCTCCGCCATGATAAGCACCGAATGAATGACAGGCTTTCCGTTTGCGCAAGGTAAATAAGGAGACGACATCTAGTGGAGAAGACTAATGATAAGATTCACATTAATCAGATCTTGTTTTAAATGTTTGCTGAAATAAATACCGGAAAAGATCGATTCGCGGCTTTTGAGAATCGATATTGAATCGACGTCATTTAAAATATATATAAAAGGAATAATTGACTCCGGGCCATTGAATTCTTAGAAAATAATGCACACCCGAGGTTATGATGCGGCCACGACGCGAAGCGGAGTTACACCGTTACACCTCGGTTGTGCATTACTTTCTAAGAATTCAACGGCCCGGAGTTTATTATTCCGCTTATACTACAGTTACCACACCTCAAGACATCGATCAGATGATATATTTCAAGGCATTTGTCCGTTTTTTCTACGGCATTTTAAACCTAGTAACGGAGGCTTGAGCCGTTGATAGCAGACTAAGTTAATGCAGACTGTTATGCAGTTAATAACTTACTTATTAGAGAGAGATTAAACATGTGACCTACCCCTGTGAGTCCGTGCATCTCTCAAAAGTGTTCGGCAGCAATATCTCTACTAGTAGTGAAAATTTAAGTTCATTTTATTTTTCACGAACAGCGGCGTTGTTACCTCGCTTGTGAGAAGTCATGAAGTTTTTAAGTTGTTAAACTGTTACTGATAAAATCGCTAGAGTAGCGCTAGTCTCGCGTAGCCAGACCTTCAGACTGACGGCTGAAGGTCTGGAATCCATGGCAGCTTTCATTGGCCATGGCCCGCCCATGAGGCCGTTTGACCGAAATGTCAAACAACCAATCACAGTTCGCTTTGTTTCAGCATCACGTTTCGGGCCGTGGAAATGTCGCCACAATAACAGACTGGTGTGTAAAACTCTCGGACGTATTTTAAAGATTCTATGCCGTGAACTTTAAATATTTCACACACTTTTGAGAATCCAGCGTTTAGTTGATCCTGATAAGCGCTCGTCATCACAGTTGTAAACACGACGGCTTTCTTCTTTCGTTGAGGGGGTTTGGCGCCACGGCATCTTTGTTTCCAGGCGGAACGTTAAAAAACGCGACACACACGTCTCCCGGAAATCCTGTTTAATTCAACCAATCCGACGATGACTTCGAAACTCCTGAAGTGTTTCCACTTTTGTGTGCCATATGCATCAGATGTTTAGCCAACGGTCCGTGGGCGTGACGTCTGATGCTGAGACTAGAGTAGCGCTAACAACATTAGTGCGTATGTTAACGTGTGTGCAAACTGTGTGTGCAACTATGTGAGAGAGAGAGAGCGGGAGAGATAGAGTATGTGCTTTCCGTACATAATAAAAATGTAATTTTGTGGCAAAAACATGGAAGTGATCTGTCGTTTTAATCCTGTTGTTTACTATATTTATTTGTTTGGCCAGTGTTGTTGTGGGTTTTGGTTATTTTGCTGTTGTTAGACTGTAAGGACCTTTGAAAGAACTGAAATTATTTGGCGAAGTGATATGGACATGTAATGCGGTCCAGAGTTGCCTGGAACTATGTTCGCCGTGCTTTGCGTTTCCCTGAAAATAATTGCACACCTTAGAATGTTCGTCAGCCAATCAAGCATTCAACGGCCCCGTAGTATGTATATATATATATATATATATATAGGGACCATATACAATATAACGGACTATATATTGTATTCAGAGATTTCACCAGGGAAAGATATTAATATTCATGTTTCATTAGATATAAATAATTGTTTATCCTACTTTTAAAATATCTTTGATTGAATATTATAATTAAAACCACATGATTGAATGTACAGTTTTGTTTTCAATTTCTTATTTTATCCTGATTCAAATGTAAAAATGTTTCTGTGTGTAT